CCACACATTCCCTTTTCTTGTATGGCGGCAGCTGTGTGACAATTATTTCCTAAAGCTTTGAGCGTTTCATCAATGATCCCATTACTATTTAGAACAGAGGATTTGTGTATCTGATTTCATTTTACTTAGTTCTGTCTCTTGGATGTCTGACTTCCTATTTCCTCCATTGAGGTTATATTATGCTAATTTCCGCCTCTTTTCTTTGCATATGCACAGTACGCTGGCATCTCGCCCTGGCACTAGACTAATATCGTTTTTGTTAGGCAACAGTATTTGGCTCCTGTAACAAAACGAGGTGGGTACATTAAAAAATAGATGCTTGACTTTCCTTTCTCCTCCATGCAACCTATCTAGCACGCTATCAAGAGCGATTCCCCTCCCTGTCAGGAATCCAATCCTCCATTGGTCCAGTCGTTGGTGGCCTGTTTGTCGGCCACATTCAGCACAGCTGTGAAACTAATCAGGGAGTGTGGGCTTCCTTCTGCCCTGCAGCATCAGGTATCCTGTCGCCTGCCTGCTGGGACTGCACTCCAACAAACGGCCAATCACCAGGCACGCACTACTTATAGTTGCCACGGCGATGATGCATGCTCCCACTGTGACGAATCACTTGATGTGAATTCAGGGGCTCTCAAAGCTCCCAGTCATGCGCTGGCATTTTAACTGCGCTAAGCTGCCAGAGCTTTTAATGACAGGACATATGAAGAAGTCTGTACCATTCTTTCAGTATTAGACTATTATTGTATTATATCGTATTAAGGTACCACATAACAAGCCATTTGTTTTACCAGTAGTCCGGTGCATCACACCAAACACGGGTTAAAATGTATTTCAGAATGGGAAAATCTTGCATGTAGGTTCAGTTTAGAAATGCACTGAAGGGATTACATAACTGTTTTAAAAGTACAACTCTTACTGGCCTTAAAGATGTGAAAAGAGCAATAAGCTACGGAAACATCAACAGAGAACAATAATAACTTCTTGGTTTTGTGTTGAAAGTGGGAAATCTAATTTCCCAGGACTCATGGGTGAACTAAATTCGGAACCAGGGCTCATAAATGAAGACAAATATTCTTTTGTATCTCTAATCCATACTTTATACAGTGTGATATGTGGCTTATCTAATTTTCTGTCATTTTTTTGTGCCTTTACTTACCTTTCTCTGCCACAAATGAAAATAAAACTAGAAAATACGTATGAATATTTCGTAAAGCCTGTTACACAAACTTTAACTTCATATGAAGCTCTATTAACACTTTTTTAACCAAAACTAAGACCATGCATGTGATTGACTAGTTACATACTAAGCATGACTAAATGCCGTTTGGTTATGTAGGGCAGTATTTCCCAATCTGGCCCTCGGGGGCCACAGACACACATTTACCTGGATCCAGGAGGGAGCAAAAACATGGACTGACTGTGGATCCTGAAGGACCAGATTGGGAAACACTGATGCAGAGTAAACAGACTATACGTCAGGTTAAGGGACAAGTCAGTATCCAACATGACACGGTGACATCAGCAAGGATTATGGGTGGATGTGACCTGTTTTAATTACTTTTAGTCACATTACGGTTTATTCTGGATTAAACAGCTAAGTGACTAAATAATAAACAGCTAAGTGACTAATTTATTGAGTATTTTGAGTTGAATCCCCATGAGCAACAAGCTCAATAAACACAGCAATGGATGTGGAAGGGCCCAAGTAACACAACTGTGGACCCCAAAAAGCCTAAGGAACAGAACAATAGAACCAAAGTGGCCCAAGGAACATAGCTTTGGAACGAAAAGGACCTAAGCAGTACAACTATGGACCCAGAAAGACCCCAAGATACACAGCTCTGGCACTACACCCATTAGACTCATTGGTGCAAATATCTGTAATATAATGCTTTCTAGAACGCACACTTATTGCATCGGCATTTTGTTTCAAGAAACCGGGCAACTTTTCTAACGAATAACAGCAGCTCAGTTAGCCTTTGATCTGTGTCATACTGCGGTTTTAAGAAATAGCACATGTTTCCCAATTCTTTAGCCCTAAACAAAGGTACTGTAACCGAAGAAATTAAATATGCATATATATATAGTTACATCATTATAAGCAGAAATGTGACCATGCCATCAAAGGGTAAGCAGCCATATGGCTAAAGCTTGCAAGCCCAAATAATGCTAAAACGACGGGAAAAAACCTTCCCTGGTTAAGGGGACATGCGTCCCCTAATTTCTTTTGTACTTGGGTTAGCACCATGCCTGTGACAGCCCAAGAAATGTTAGGAATTTCCATAGATGGAAAGCTTAATATAGCTTCTGTAGGCTATAAAAAAAGTTTGAACAAGCAATATACATTTTTAGCATGACAGTGCTTGTTTTGATCCTTAAATTATATTTTTTAAATAGTACTGCTTTTCAGCTTCTGCTTGTCCCAGCCATCTTTCTTGTCTTGACGAGAACGTCAGAAAAAGTCTGTGCCCCATAACTCTCTTCGACGACACCATCGGTGAGCAGGGAAAACATTTGTTTTTCAATTTCAATGGCTTGTCGGATGATATATGGCACGCACACTGTTAACCTTCCGCGTAGTCAACTGCTGCCGTGTCAAATAAAAATCGGACCGTTCGACCGCAACTCAGTGCTTTCACGTGAAATCGTTAAAGACGACCCAGTGTTTGCTCATGGAGGTGACTGGTAGTCATTCTCTGTCAAGTACAATTAGCAAAGCTTCAGCAACCGGTAGAAGACGAAATATTGAGGAGTATAAATGTTCAGCGCTTGATCAGTTGGAGCAAGTAAGAAGTTATCAGTAATCTCATTTTATACTAATGTTGCACTGTAGTAACAATTAAATTTAATGCAATAGCCCTTGTTGCCCCCAGTAATTCCTCACGAACGCAACACTTTGCTTTATGTCAACCGAAAGAAATTATTTAAAGCAAACAGGTACAAACACAGCCTTTAACAAGAGGACATCGATATACCTCTATTGTAGGATGACATTTTGTTTTTGGGCAACGTTATTGAATAATTGAAAACAATATGCCCGAAGGCAGGGCCGTGCAGAGACGTTTAAAGGGGCGGGTGCTCAAGCACCCGACGCCCCCCCCCCCCCCCCCCCCCCC